TTCTCGGTCTTACAGAGATCTTTAAATTGCAGAGCGCAGGCAGTTATGAAATAATATACTAACACACTTTTATAATGTAGAATTTATTACGCGAATGTTTTAGAATTTTATCGAAATCACAGTTTTTTGCTACTTTATTTTACTTCACGAACTGTCCGATTTATTTTTCATAAGTCAATACACTTATTGTCACTATGTCTATGTTTACTTTTTTTGTTAATGAGTTTCTATATGTATTTACTCCAACAGAATTTTGTCTTTAAAAGACATGTTTGACAATGTTGCGATTAATCGAACATCGATCTTTTAATACTCCAGTTAATCGAGAATCGATTGTAGTATGTTCGATTCGAATCAAATCGGAGATCGTAGAAAGTGAATCGACAGGCCAGTTCCAGTATACGATATTAGTCTGTCGTCTGACTCTGATTGTCAATTGTCAAATGTCACGCCGTGGCGCATTTCCTGTCATTTGCAGTTGTTGATGTAACTTTCACAGTAAAATGAATATTTTTATACAATGAACCAATATTTATACATTCAATGTTACGTTTTTATGTTTGTTAAAGAATTAGCAAACTATAAGAATTTAAATATAAAATACCTGATATAACGTGTACAATGACTTTAACAGATTTATATATAGCAGTAGTTTGCTCTTCAAATATGAACCGAAGCATGGAAGCTCATGCATTTTTGGTCAAAAAAGGTTTTAAAGTTAAGTCTTTTGGGACCGGCGAGAAGGTGAAGCTCCCGGGTGCCTCTGCTGACCGGCCCAATTGTTACGAATTTGGAGTTCCTTATGATGATATATATAATGATTTATTAGAGAAAGACAAAGCTTATTACACTCAAAATGGACTACTCCACATGTTGGATAGAAATCGTAGAATAAAACAATATCCCGAAAAGTTTCAAGTTTCCACTGAAAGGTTTGATGTCATTATTACATGTGAAGAGAGAGTGTATGATCAAGTTATAGAATGGTTTGGTTCAAAAAGATCAGTTTATAATCAACCAGTACATGTGATTAATGTAGACATACAAGATAACCATGAAGAAGCAACTATTGGTGCATTTTTAATAAGTGATATGGTCACAAAAATGGCACAAAGTGATGATTTGGACAATGACATCGATGAATTACTACATGATTTTGAATCAAAGTGTCAAAGGCCAATTTTAAATTGTATAATGTTTTATTAAAATAATTTTGGTAATATACTCATTTTCCAACTTTCTTTAAACCATTTTCCAAATGTATGGTTATTATATTGAATTTCAAGAGAAGGAAATGAATTGAATTAAAGACAAGACAAAATCTATAGATATGAATGTGCATAAAGAATATATACCATGGTGGATCTTCAAAGGCTTTTATGAGTGTAAGCTAATGAAGTAATATTGTAAGATTGGTACATTTATTAAAGTATGCCTCAGAATTAGTATTGTTTTTAGTAATAATCAATAATAATTATATCCCATAGGTATCCCTTACTTTTGCATATGTTTGTTAACATATTTAAGGGTAAGCAATTTTAGAGCAGTAGAAATTAATATAATATTATTAATATAAGTTAATATTATAATTATTAAATACAATAATAATATATGATTCTACATGTCATGTATTCCTAATCAATAACAAAAACAAAATAAAATTTAAATAAATAATGCTTTGTAATTCCAAATAAAAAGCACTATTCTAAATATAATAGAATCTAAAACTAGGTGTGTAGCCCTTTTAGTAAACATTAATTATTTACTGTTACACTAAGTGATGTTTTTTCTTGCAGTCTGTAGACTGTTGATGCTTTATTCAACGCAGAACTCGCTTAAAGCCGCCTCTTCATTGAGGAGGTCTGCAAAAATCTGAGCATGTGCGTGAAGGAATGTCACCTATGATGAACCATCGAAGTTTGGTACGAACCCCGGTGTCCATTAATTGTATTAATCAGTGGCTGAAATTGTTGAAAACCGCCCTGGAATGCTAGTGTACTTACCTACATAAAAATAATGTCGATTCACTGGCTAGTCAAAAAAATTTAAACATAATAATGTTATTTAACTAGTCAGTGGTTGATATGTTGATGGCAGCTTTAAATGGCAATGCAAGATCTCACAGTTTAAGAGTATAAAGAAACGCAAATCTGGATGAGCACTAAACACCTAAAGATGTTTGAAACATTGCATTTATTGATTTACACAGGATAACAATGCATTTATTTATTACAAACAATATAGCGTACAGAAAGAAATTTAATTGGTAAAAAAAATCAAAAATGTTTTTTTGATTTTAATTTAATTTTATGGTTTATATTAAATGTGAATTTTTGTACATAAATGAACTATTTCGATCACGGCAGACTTTTAGCGCTGCCGTGATCGAACCAGAGTCTTCTAGGTAACGCGTCCAGACCTTTACCAACTACGCTATGCGGCCGATGACCTTACGTTGTGAAAATTTCCTGCCATAAATTGATTTCATAATTTAGGTACTGTATTATTGTTAAGTTGCTAATAAATAGCTATTTATTTTATTCACGTTTTGAATTTAAACTAACAATTTTTTTTAAACAATAGGTTGTAGTTATCCTTACTTTTCTCTTTATCTTGCTTAATCACTAACACTAACAAATCTTGTAATGTATAATACATTAGTTACCGAATACATGTACGTACGGAACGTACGTCCACAGGCTGAAAGGCTATAATTAATTACAGAATCCAGAAGAGCGTGGTACATAAGTGCGTAAGGTTGTTTTAGTAACTAATGTAGTTACTTTAAGGTGCACAAACTTGCATAATATCGACCTCAATTTATTGAGCACTGGTCCTATATGCAAATTTAAACCTAACTTAATATCTATGATTAACCCCAGATATTTGTAACAAGTTAAGTCGATGCACTGCTTACTCCAAGGTAAGCAATCGTACAAATGAGTTACCTATGTCTATTATTAATAAAATAATTAAGGAACTGTTAAGCCCGATTTACACGGGTCAAGTGTTTAATAAAGTAGAAGTACAGTGGTGTAAACCATCGGACAGTAATGAATCAACTATGCTTGCAAGCTGCCTTGCAACTAGACTCAAATAGAAGCGCTTTTTTTTTGGTGCAAGTGCAATCCTAGCCCGTCAGCTTAACCCCCGCGGGGCACTTCACTCGTCACTTGCCAAAGCGTGACCAGATTTTATTTGACGAATCTACTGCTTGTCGAGGTTAAAAACTACTGAATTCTACCAAAGGAGAACGAAAAAATACTAAAATCATAAATCTAGTATATTTTTTGCTGTCCTGTAACCTATAAACATGATTAAACGATAAAGTAATAAAAATAACAAAGAAACCAATATTTTTTTAAGTTAAATTCTAAAAAAAATATAATTAAAAAAATAAAATTAAACTTAAAGTTAAGATTTTTCGCCTTTATGTTGGGTAACATTGCCATAAAGCTGTTTTGAGTCCATATGATCATACTTCTGTCACGATCAAATCTCCTACATCCTCCTTCCAACTGACCCCTCGTAACCCTTCTTTTCCATGCATAATGGCATGCAACATTGTTATTATTACATCGATTTCGATCTTAATTTTTAATCCTATTAATATCGGAAAATATTCTTTGTACTTTAGCGTTTGCCAAAGGTAGTATCGTCATTTGCTTCACAAATCGGAACAAATTGCCATACTTTGTTGCTATTAGCATCACAGATTTGGCTTACATCACACCAAAATGTATCCACCAAAAACTTCAGACATCTAACTAGCAGTTGACAGTGAATGTTTTTTAAAATAACACAGGTTCACACTACTGCGTAAGTCGAAAGTATTAAAAAAAAGTCTTAACAAGAATAATTTACTAAGAATTACATTCCACATATTAACGTTAGTAACTTGCATACTTGAGAAATGCCGGACCGGAATATCCTTTCATATTTTTTATATGCTTTCATGTAGCCATGTGTTCCTTCAACGACGCCAGTCTTCTTAGTACTTCGCAGTTGCATGCTTTACAATGAGCACTCGTAGTGTTTACCTTAGATTTACATAACCAACTTTTCAATGAGGGATATTGCTCTCATTCATCGCGATATCCTTGTATATATTTAAGTTTCATTTTAAACTCGATACAAAAATTCTCAACAAAGGAATTCCCAGTAGTCTATCACTGCCGTGAGCAGAGTGTGATACACTCTGCTCACGGCACGAATCAAACGACCAAAAGAATGAAAATTAAATAGTAACAATCCATTCTATGAAAGGAATACCCCGCATTTATGCGATAAGCCAGAAAAGTACTATAATAACTGAAAAGCGTGAATTCTACTAAAATATACCAAATAATTTTTACACACTAAATACTGTTGCCAGTACCTCTAAATCTACCAAAAAAGTAGAAATCTACTAAATCTGGTCACGCTGCTTGCCATACTAAAATAGTCAAATTACTGCAGTGGCCGCAACAGGCAACAAAATTGCACGTAAGTATTGCTCTTATGTTTTTCGACAGAGAAATGCCACTGGACTTGCTGTATTCCTGTAGTGATACAGATAAGCAGCGGATTACGAATAACCTATGTCTATTATAAGCAAAATAGTAAACTGATAGTTAAGAGCATTAACGAGTTTCTAGAAAAATTACGAGTACATCTATCTTATATACTTATGGTTTTGTACGGCCTTTTCCATTTTCACACACGACTAACGAATTTATAGACAGTAAGCAGTAAGACAGTATGTAGTTCTTTTAGATTTTAGAAAAGCATTTGATACGTACGACCATGTGCGGCTGCTGGGAGCTATGGACGCTGGATGAATGCGGAATCCGCAGGCCAATTAGCTTGTGTTCACGAAATTATTTAATTAACAAGAGACTACATAAAAACATACAACAAAGTTTTATAAGGAAATTAGCTAGTTTTTGTGGCTCCGTCTTCGGCCTTATGAGCTAAGTACCTGTGGTATGGTAAATGTTATAAAACATCGTAGAGCCTATATGTATGCTGACGACATATGCATGGACTATAGTGACAGGAACAGAAAAGTCAAAGGTGATTGACAATAAAATACAATCGTATTTTGATGGTATTATTAAATGGCCCCAAGATGAACATGCATGCTCATTCTCATCCGGATGACGTGGGTTCGATAAACTTTTCGTCCATATCTTTTACAAATTGTAATGTTTCATCTTCAGTGTCGAGATTATCACGTTTCATAAAGATTTGCCCTTGGGCGTATCGAATTATGCCCTTCGCTTGCATATCCTTTTATTACCTAAATACACTATAGGTACCGTAAAACGGGGTGAATAGTATTTACGGGGTAAATAGAAATATTTTTAGGAAATTTTCTAAAACCTCATGATTCAAGAAATACACAGCAATCTGAATTATTTGTACCTATCTGTTTTTAAATGGCACCATATTTTCTTTTAACTGATAGCACTTGGATAGTCTGAAGCTAACAATATCAACATATTTGAAAAATTGACTTCTAATCATAGATAAGACATTATATACTGAAACTTATAACATATAAACATATATACTGAAATTGTTGATTGGTAATCTCAGATTATACATACTCTTTTGATGTTAACTCTGACCTGTTTGGTTTATGTATTATGTTTGAATTACTTTAAATTAAATATGAAATGTTAGTTTTATTTGTCCAGACTGAATTGTGTCATATTTGAATGATTCCGTAAAATCGTTTGGAGAAGTAACATGTCTAGCTATCTAACATAACTCTTGTATTTTACATAAATTTCATAATGATTACGTTTCGTTTAAAATAAATTCAAAATGTTAAAGTTGAAATAAATAGTTTTCTTATCAGTCCTTTAGTGTCTTTTTGGTTTGAAAACGATCCCATAGCCACATCTACCATTTAAGAGGTTATGGGCCCAGAAATTTTTTTTGAGATTGTGATGTTGATTGGTAATCTCAGATTATACATACTCTTTTGATGTCAACTGTGACCTGTTTGATTTATGTATTATGTTTGAATTACTTTAATTTTGAAATGTTAGTTTTATTTGTTCAGACTGAATTGTCATATTTGATTGATTCCGTAAAAATCACTTGGAGACATGTCATGTACTTACGTAAAAATAACATGTCTAGCTATCTAACATAACTCTTGTATTTTACATAAATTTCATAATGATTACGTTTGGTCTAAAATAAGATCAAAATGTTTAAGTTTAAATAAATAGTTTTCTTATCAGTCCTTAAGTGTTTTTTCAGTTTGCAAATGATCCCATTAGCCACATCTAGCATTCAAGAAGTGACAGCTGCAAAGAAATTTTCAAAGATGGACAAGCCCATCAAACCATTGTTAGAAAACATACTACCATTCAAGACTGGAAACAAAAGATTACTTTGAAAATAACTGCTGCGGATTTTGAGAATATTTTGAAAAGTGATGAGCAGACTGCGACCACGAGTGAGGAATTATTATCCATGAATAAAATGGAGGCATGGGTGATGAAGAAGAAACAATTGAAAAAGGAACAATTCAAGAAGAAACCATTAACGGTGTTGAAAATGAAGAGAAACAAATGAAGTACTTTGTGAAGAAACAATTGGATATATATAAAATAACACTTAAATATTTCTAATTTAGAGGTGGATAGAGACGACTTAGGGAGAAACGGCCTATGGGGTTATGGTTAATAGAAACGGGAAAGGCGAGAATGGAAACGAAGAAGTTCTAAATAGAAACGCTAAGGGAGTTTTTAGAAATAATTTGGATAGGGTTGGCTAAATTGGCAAAACAGACGGATACTTGCGTAAATTAGAAAAATCTTTACCTACTAATATGTTAAATTATTATGACTTTTTAAATTTTTAAATATGACGACCGAACTGACGACCCGAATGGCGTAGTCGGTAGTGTACCTGCCTTCTGCTCCAGAGGGTGTAGGTTCGCTTTCCGAACCGGTGGTACCTTACGAACATAATCTTTGATGTAAAATTTGACGATTCATAAGAGCGCGCAAGCGTCTATTTGAATAAATATATTTTTGATTTTGATTTCAATCCCCACTACTGGAAAAATATTGTGTGATGAGCATAGTGTTTTTCTAGTGCCTGGGTGTTTATATATGTATAATGTGTATTTATTTAAAAAAAAAAAAGTATATTTAAGTATGTCTTTCAGTTTTCTAGTACCCATAGTACAAGCGTTGCTTAGTTTAGGACTAGAGAATGTTGTGTAAAAATGTGTCTAAAATATTTTGTTTTAAAATATTATGACTTTTTAAATATTTGATTCTGCAATAAGTGCAATTAACTATAGAATAGAGACTGCAGCAGATTAAATATTTCGCTTTACGTTTTGACAAAAGTCACTTTGACGTAAGACGTTGAGAAGACTATATTCGAGCGAGAGCGAGGCCACGGAAGTTTGTTAATTAGTTAACCAAGAATCATTAATACAATATTGAGAAGCTAAAAGTATGATAAAATATTAATTACTCGGAGTGGCGTAAATTTCTATACATAAAAATGAATAATTATTTTAACACACTATGTAGCCTTGGAATAAAAACTTATCAATTTTTCGGACTGCATACTAGTTCTTCAGTGTCAGCATGGGTTAAAGCTAAAACTCCAAAAAAGTTTTTAGAATACAATAGAAAAATATATCCCCCACAAGCAATTGGGGAAGAGCCTAGACCAGCAGTAAGTTTAACTATGAGATTCTGTCATAGTATTATATAATTTATTCAGAATAAGATGTTAGGATTATTTGCATGCTGATCATTTCACATTGTATATGTACCTCACTTAACGTATTAAGTATTTTATTAAATTACATACTTCAAAAATAGTTTGTAAAATTGTTATAATATATGGTACTTACCTATATTAAAATGACCAAGTAATAAAATTTAAAAAAGTGATGTTAGTTTAAAAATAGCTTAGAATTCACTAAATGTATTGTATTATTCTTGCAGTTTGTGTGTCATCAAAAAACCAATTTAAAGTATAGCCCAAAAAAGTTGTGGTATGTTGCTAGTTTTGTCCGAGGTATGACTGTTGATGAAGCTGTGAAACAATTAAGTTTTGTTAACAAAAAAGGTGCTGTATTTATTAAAGAAGCTATATTGGAAGCTCAGGAAAAAGCAGTTATGGGCCACAATGTGGAATACAAAAGCAATTTATGGATAGGTAAGTAAAGATAAAAAATATTTTTGGTAAAATTTTAGAAAATTTATTTACGTTTATCACCTGAAAATATTTTTGTTTGATTGATTGATTAGAATAAACTTTATTGCACACAAGGAAATACAAGGAAGAAAATACGGGAAAGATTGTGTACATAAAGGCGGCCTTATTGCTAAGGTAGCAATTTCTTCCAGGCAACCTTAGCGTATAGGATTAGGTAATAAAGTTGCGGGATAATGGTGCAAAAATAATAACATTAATATATATGTAGAAAAATAAAATCATCAAATATAATACATATCTATATAATAACAAATACCTATACTGTAATATATATATATATATATACAGCATGTCTTTATTTTTTTCATTGCGACAATAAATGAACACACATATAGAGGATAACTTTTTAAATTTGTATTAAACATTACTTTCTTTAAACATCAATATTTACAGAGTTATTAAATTTTCCAAAACAAAGAATTTAAGAACATCCTTATGTATAAAACTGTAACGTAAAGTTCATTTGTAAAGGTCACAAAGCATATGAATGGGTTGAATGAATTTAAAAGAGACAAAACATACTGTTAGAAGGAGAGACTTGTAATGCGACGCTGTGGCAACAAATGAAAAAGTCTCTGAATGTATGAATCAGTCAGTTGTAGTTGTATAGGTGTTACAAATTTTGTTTCTCTATTACTTAATTAGTTTGTTTGAAATATTTTTTTTTTCAATTATGGATTTTATTTAATGTTAATATTTTTTTAGCGTTAGACGTGTGTTCACTTATTGTCGCGATGGTAACGACAAGCTGTATATATATATATATATATATATATGATCCAGCAAAATTAAAAGAGTACTTTGTTGATCCACCTTTCTATCCAAATTTCTTTGCCCTTAAGCTTTATTTTAAAGCCCGGAAAACATATATTTGAACAGCGTATTGTGTTGATTAGACATATTTCTAAATTCAGCAATATACTCTAACCGTTGTTTTATACTTTTCCAAAGTATTTGTGGCTCCGCGTAACGGTTTTTCCTATGGCACTTTTTAAACATTTCTTGATCCCTGTGAGCGCGCATACGCATCTCGACGTCAGTGTTCGTAAATTCCACGGTGTTTGTAATAAGAATTGAATTTCTATGTACATTTTCTATTGAGTAAACTGTTACTATATGTCGAATATAATAACGTAGATAAATATAATTGACAAAGAGATGGTTATACCCTATTTCTTATTAATTAGTTTACCATAGGATGCTAGTGAATAAATATTTTTAATATTGTAGATATTATCGCTTGATATTAATGTTTCCTTGGGACATTATCAAAATAACTACTTACTATAAAGTGTATAGTTTTGTTTTTATGCTTGTTAGCACATGCAGCCTGTATTAATTCGATTGAGGTGAAGCCCAAAATGCTGTACTCCTAAGTAGGCATCCAAATACTATCCCAAGTTGATTTCAGCAACTGGCGCGGCGGCGAACTATGAGCTCAAAGAATATCATACATTTAATAAAAATTTAACTGATTTTTGTTTGTACATGGAAGATATTTGAGAAAAACTATTATTAGGAGCCTTTATCGACGCAGTAGAACCATGATAGTTAAAATTATTGTCCGTTTATCTGTTTGTCTGTGTGCGCTAACTTGGCTAAAACGGCCTTTCCGATTTCAGTGCAACTTTTACATGCATTGTAGTAAGCTTCTCTTAACATTTATTGTTAGTTTTATTGAAGTCGGATGATAAATATAATAGTTATATCAACTTAAAGTAGTAAACCACATTGTAGATTTGTGCGATCAAACTAGTCAACTATGGTCTGTAAAATGATGGTTTATATAAAGTTAAAAAAAAAATCGCCCAAGTGCGAGTTGGAGTTGCGCACGAAGGGTTCCGTAGGTATTTTTAAGCACAATATAATGTGCGGGCGAAGCCGCGGGCGCAAGCTAGTTGTACAATAAATTGCTACTATTGCACTAGGAAACGGATCAACAAGGGTCGCAATGTAATGCGACAAATGGTGTAGTGTGAAAATTTCTTTAAAGAGACGAGGATGACAATATTTTAGTTTTATTTTAACTGTTAAATTTGTGTACAAGTCATTGCTCAACTTATTATCAAATATGAGTTTGGTTACAAGAGAATAAATTATTATTATTTATTATGTAATCAATAGTGTTATTTAAGCTAGTGCTATTCAGTGGGTTAAAGTTAGATTAGTTAAGAGATAATGTGCGATTTATCGGACAAATCTTTACATCAAAAGGGAAACTCAAAGAATTGAGTGAAGTGATTTTTATTAAATGTAATCTTGCTTATAGTCTAGTCAACAAGTGCTTTTTAACGAAAACCTGTTTAACTTATTTTTTTAAAGAATAAAAATTTAATTTATTTAAAGAAAATTATGGTTTTATATGGCACAAGAGAAATACATAATCTGTGAAAATTTCAACTGTCTATCACCATTACGACATGAGATACAACGTGGAGCCTGGTGACAGACGGACAGACAGACAGACAGCGGAGTCTTAGTAATAAGGGTTCCGTTTTACCCTTTGGGTACGGAACTCTAAAAGATTATTTTAACCAAATAAAATAGAATATTAAGGAATAAAAAATATAGTTCTTTCTAGACACATGAATAAATAATAATACGACGAAAAAAAATTAAGATTATTTCTATGTAGTCTAACCCAGAATATTTTAGTCACTTCTTGAAAGAGTTTAGAAAAGATTGCCAAAAAAATTCTAATTTTTCATTATTTTATTACCAATCTAAGGCCTTGAAATATAAAAAACGTTAATAAATCAATCAAGATTTTTTTTTATTTTTTGATTATTCTGTTCCTGTAAAAAAAATTACTTGAATTGTAATTATTACAAATAAATACATTGTTTATAAGATTTTCAATTTTTTTCTTTTAGGAATATGATGCTGAATGAAAATATGACATTTATGAAAAAAAATTTTCACTGCTAAAAACGCTTTTTCTAAATTACAATTTTTTGTTGCTTAGTGTAAACATTATGGAATCATTTTATTAAAATCATAATTTATCACGTTGTTACATCATAAAAAAATTAAAATTTAATTCATTTTCTGGTTTTGTGAACAGAAGCTTGTTTATAAACAAACGAATTACGAAAAATTTTGTTTATTATTTTTCTGTTTTTTTTAAATAATTTTTAAAATTACTGTACACTTGGACTTATTGTTACCTATCAGGTATTCTCCGTTGCTAATAAAATTACTTATAAACTATTGAAGATACGACTAGAACACACCAATTCTTATTTATTCTTCAACATTATTTGTTAAATATTGAAGTAGTAGCATTCATTTTATACGTGGATTAAATAATTAACTGTTGAGTATTGATACCAATATTTTTTTTATTAATTATTATATGTAAATTCTTAAATAATCTATCACGCGCGCAACGAATTTACATTAAAATATAATGGTTGTGGTGCACGTGAATCTGAATAGCGCGCGACCGCTAGATATTGCTGGCCCTTTAAAGCATGTATACAGTATATACGAGATACAGTAATTCTTCTTAATAAGTAGGTACTGACGTAAAGTGATGATTTCAACCAATGAATGCTGCTGTGATCTGTGATTCGTCCGTTTGAATTGGATCAAATAAGTACGGAGTGGATTTGTATAAATTGTAGGTACTTTCAAAAAGATATTGACGAGAATTTGTTGATCCGAATGGAGCCACTAAATCACATACATATGGTATTGGATCAACAAATTTAAGCGGATCAACAAAAAACTGATCATACGTAACGCTGGATCAAACAACTCCTAGAACGGATAAATATATATATATGTGTGTGTGTGTGTGTGTGTATGTATATATATATATATAAACAACAACTGACAACCAAAGCTCAGAGGAAAAAGTAACGTTGGGATGAAATTAAACAGGAAGGGAAAGGAGATGGGCTTTCAGGTGCTTCTTAAAAGTGTAAAGGGACGGGGCTTGTCTTATAGACACAGGGAGTGAGTTCCAGAGCTTCACAGCTTGGACAGTAAAAGAAAAGGCATAGAAATCAGTGGTATGAGGAGGCATAGAAAGCGAGCGATAACGAGAAGAACGGAGTGAACGATCAATAGAAATAGACTGGTATTCAAAACTTTCTTTTACATACGACGGAATCGAAGGGTTAAACAGGATAAAATAAAGTAGGGATCGAACGTGAAAATCCCTTCGACGACGGATTGGGAGCCAATTTAACTGAGTACGATAAGAAGAGACATGGTCGTATTTGCGTAGGTTGAAGATAAATCTAATAGAAAGGTTTTGGAGGCGCTCGAGTTTACTAATCTGGAAGGTCGGGATTAGACGTATCAGCGTAATCAAGGATAGGTAGATGTAGGGTCTGTACAAGCGAGATTTTAGTGCTTGTCGGTAAGAGATTCCGCAGTCGTCTTAAGGAGTGATACGCTGCAAACACCTTTTTACTCACGTCAGCGATATGTGCTAGCGATAGTAGCTTCCAGGATAAGGTCTTATCAAATATCACGCCGAGATTTTTAACAGTATCGCTGTATGGTATATGGACGCCATCAAACATAACTGGAGGTAGTTGATCAAAGTCAACTATAGATATGAACCAAAGGCTACCCATCACAATTACCTGAGTCTTTTTAGGGTTCACCGTGAGACCATAAGCGCGACTCCATTCGGATATGCGAGAGAGTTCGGTGTTGATGGAACACACCGCTACGTGTAAGGCACGAATGGGTGCCTGTGAGTAAATTTGGAGGTCGTCTGCATACAGGTGGTACGAAGATGTTAATGAATGAGTTAAATTGTTTATGAAAATCGTGGAGAGTAAAGGGGGAAGATCGCCACCCTGCGGTACGCCTGCACGTGTATCACAACAGGAGGAGAAAGCATCTTCAATCTTAACACGCTGCTTGCGCCCATACAGGTAACTACTAAACCAGTCAATAGCCGTTGGAGATATGTTAAGAGA